TTCATCTTGCTGTAAGGTTTTACCTCAATCTCCAAGGATCTAAGATTGGTATGGATAATTTGGAGGAGCACATCAGAGATAAATTTTCTTTGTCTGTTGACAATTTACAAGTCATTAATCCGGAAATAGTCTTCAGCTAAGAAGCCTACGTAGGTTGCATTATATTCTAGCCAGAAATATGAATTTCTTGGTGTCTATTAGCTGGGCTTTTTGGCTTAGTACTTGGTCCACAGATGCATCCTCCTATATTAATAGATCAAGAGAACGGCAGAGGGCAGGAAAGCGTGTCTACTTCAAGACCTAAGGTTCAGGAGACCCTTTCGATCCAAAGACACTCATTACTGTCCTCCTTGGACCAAGGTATTTCACACCAGGAAGAGAGGATGGTAGAACTCAACCTTGATGTCAGTGGTCATTTTTCTACCAGAGAAAGAGGAAAGGTAAAAATAGATGCTTTGTAATTCTCATGGCTTCCCTTCAATTAGAGGAAGTTATTGTGAGATTAAAAAAAAAAATTAAAAAAAAAAGTAACTAGAATTTAAAGAATCTGTTTCTAACAAGTGTTGGAGATCCATTCTAGTTTACAGGATTCTTGAACATTCTACTTTATAAAGGTAGTATTCCTAGTACATTGGATGATGTCTATAGATTGTTTATTGTCATGTATTCTTTGCTTCACATCACTTTTATTTTTACATCTTCATGGTGAAAGATGAATGTCTGCTGTAGTCACCTTGCTCCCTCCCAGTTCAGGATATAGCTGGGAACACAGTTCGACATGGTCCAAGGCACGGTACAGCTTTATTTAGACTAGCATATTACCTCAACAGAGAGAGTTTTGATCCAGGTCCTCCACCATAGATCTGAGAAGATGTCACAAGGGCAGAGGTTAACTTTCCTATGGAAATCCTTTGGACAGTGATAACTATGAATACCATCCACTGGGGTTGAGGAACCTTTCTCCAAAATCAGATACATTCAGGAAAGGGGCACCCTTAACACCCAACAACACCCTCTTCTGCATAGGTTGCAAGTGCCAATATCCATCATCCTGACAGTTCCATATTGGTACCCAGTCCATGGTTTCCACTTCTACTTATCATCTTCAGTACCTCCATGGGATCTCCCAAAAGAGTTCTTCACTCGTCCATTGGGTCCAGTGCTACTTTCCTCATTCTGAATGTTTTGATATCGTAGAAGGGCTTAAATATGAGTTTTTGAACATTCTACCAAAGAGGTTCTAAGTTCTTCAATCCAGGACTCCTTTAGAAATTAGCCACATCACCTCAGAGATATGTCTCAGCACTCTCTGATTTCTCTTTTCGTGAAAGGGCTTTGATATGGAAGTATCTAAATTTCTGTTGGCTGTATTTATATGATCCCATGGTTATCCATTGCTCCCCGTGGAATTCTTTCCTGTTTTTTGGGGGTTTTTTTAGTGCTCTGAAATCTTCACCCCTTTCAACCATGAAAGTATATATCTCCACAATTGCTTAATATTAAGTTAGCTCTATTGGTGACTTTAGCATGGACTGAAGGATATTCGATCCTCAAGCATTATTTTGCATGGAACCCTTTACTGCCTTCTACAATGTATCTAAAGCCTATTGATTAGAATGTAGAGTCAGTAATAAAACTTTCTCCTCCTGTCCTAGATAGATGTCTTAAGATCTATTTCTATAGATCAGCTTTTTGGATTTCTTCTGATAGTCTGTTTATCTTTACTAATAGACCATAAAGATCTTCAAGCCTCTATATAAGCCATTAACAGATGGATAGCCTTGGCTGTTTTTTAGGCTACTGAGACCTAGGGGTTACAGTACTTAAAGGTCTGTTTTGCTCTCTAGAGCCACTTCTTCCTCTTGAGCATCGGTGGCCAAGTTTCCCTGGAACTTGTAGGTAAATGGCTGCTTGGTCCTCAATCAGTTTTCAGATTTTTTTTTTTTTTTGTACATTTGTGTTGGTCAGTTTGATAATGTGCCAATAGTGGGAAATCAGTTTTTCATTTCCAATGTCCTTATGAGGTGTGTGTGTGTTGTCAATTTGCATTCATTTTGGAAGTCTTATGTACTTCTTTCCCTCACTTGGTTATTGCTTGGGTATTACCCATTGTTGTGCTGCCATGGATATGGCCAGGAAAAAGGAAAATTTACTCCTACTTACCGTAATTTTCTTTTCTTGGTCATAGGCCATGGCAGCACAAATATCCCACCCTGGGAGGGATAGGAGAGGTTACTCACGGCCGTCTTTAAAGCGGGGCAAACGGGGCAGCTGCCCCGGGCCCATTTACTCCTGGGGGGGCCCAAAGCAGCTACCCCGTGGGCCCCGCTGTCCGGAAAAAATAAATAAATTTATTTGCCCCCTGGGCCCGCCGGTGCTGCGGCTGCACCGGGAGCCCCCACACTCAGGCCCCGGTCGGGCACTTTGACCCCCTGGTTTTACCGCAGCAGGCTGGGAGGAAGTGACTGCCGTGAGTCACTTCCTCCCAGATAGAATGAAGCCGCTCGGGATGGAGTAGGAGGCTGTCAGGAGGGAGCTGGAGTGCAGGAGCCTCACACTCCCAACGACCTCAGCCTGCCGCTGGACCCCAGGGAACCCATAAGGTAGGGCTGGAGGGTGGCTTTATAAATGTAAACTTTGCATGTGTGTGTGTCAGTATTTGTGTGAGTCAGTATGTCTGTGTGTGTCTTAGTATGTGTGTATGTGTGTGAGTTTGTCTGTCAGGGTATTTGTGTGTCAGGGTGTCTGTGTGTGTCTTAGTATGTGGTCAGTAAATCTGTGTGTGTGAGTATGTGTGTCTTAGTATGTCTGTGTGTGTCAGTATGTCTGTCATGGCTTATGTGTGTGTGTCAGTATGTCTGTGCGTGTCAGTATGTCTGTCTGTGCGTGTCAGTATGTCTGTCTTTGCGTGTCAGTATGTCTGTCTGTGCCTGTCAGTATGTCTGTCTGTGCCTGTCAGTATGTCTGTGCGTTTCAGTTTGTCTGTGAGTGTGCATGTCAGCTTGTCTGTCACTGTGTCAGTATGCCTGTCAATGTGTAAAAATGTAAACGTTGCATGTGTGTGTCAGTATTTGTGTGTGTCTTAGTATGTCTGTGTGTATCTAAGTATGTGTGTGTGAGTATGTCTGTCAGGGTGTCTGTGTGCGTCTGTGTGTATCAGTATGTCTGTCAGTGTGTGTCACTATGTCAGTGTGTCATTATGTCTGTCAGTATGTATATCTGTGTATCTGTATTTAGTATATCTGTGTGTCTTTGCATGTGTCTCAGGTTTTGTATATGCGTGTCTGTATGTGTGCCAGTGTGTGTATCTGTAAGTTATCATTGTATGTATTTGTGTATCTGTATGTTGTCAGTGTGTGTACCTGCGTTTGTATATCTGTGTGTGTGCATCTGTATGTAGTCAGTGTTTTTATCTGTGTATCTGCATGTGTGTCAGTATATGCAGGGACGTATTAGCCGCGAGGCAAACAAGGCATTTGCCTTGGGCGGCATTTTTCGGGGGGCGGCAAAAAACGCCGCCCCCCAAATGCCCAGGGCAAATGCCCAGTTAGCCTTGCGGCTAACTGACATCCCGGGCGGGCGGCGCTGGCAGGCGGGCGGCTGGCGAGGGAGCACTTCCTCTGAGCTGACTGCTCAGCTCCCTCGCGCACCGCAGAGTGAAGCTGGGAGCCGGAAGATGACGTCATATTCCGGCTCCCAGCCTCACTCTGCAGCCGGCGCGCGAGGGAGCTGAGCTGACAGCTCAGAGGAAGTGCTCCCTCGCCCGCCGCCCGCCCGACAGGGGAGAGAGAGACCTCCCCCCCAGCACTCCCAAAGGTAAGGAGGTTGGGGGGGGGGGATTTAAATAAAAAAAAAAGTTAATGTGTGTGTGTTTGTGTCTGACTGTGTGTGTGTTTGTCTGACTGTGTTTGTGTCTGTGTATGTGTCTGACTGTGTGTGTGTTTGTGTCTGACTCTGTGTGTGTCTGTGTTTGTATCTGACTGTGTTTGTGAGTGTGTGTGTTTGTGTCTGACTGTGTGTTTGTGAGTGTGTCTGTTTGTGTATGTGTGTGTGTGTTTGTGTCTGACTGTGTATGTGTGTGTGTTTGTGTGTGTGTGTGTGTCTGACTGTGTGTGTGTTTGTGTCTGACTGTGTGTGTGTATTTAGAAGGTGGGGCGGGGGGAAGGGTTGGGTGGGGGTGGCGCGGGGGGAGGGGGGCGCCTGAGTTTTGTCCTGCCTAGGGCAGCACAAAACCAGGATACACCACTGAGTATATGTATCAGTGTGTCTGAGTATTCATGTGTTTCAGTGTTTGTATATTTGTCTCCGTATGTGTGTCAGGTTGTGTATCTGTGTGTCTGTATGTGTTAGTGTCTGTATGTGTCAGTCTGTATTTGCTTGTGTGTTAGTGTGTCAGTGTTTATATCTGTGTATCTGCATGTGTTTCAGTGTGTATTTGTGTATCACAGTGTGTGTGTGTGGCAGTGTATGTGTACATGTACATACATCTCATCATTCAAATCGCCAACACTACACACAAGTACACCCCTGCATTCAACCTTCAACACTACATACAGACACAGTCCCGCATTGAAACATCAACAATACATACAAATACATCTTTGTGTTAAACACCAAAAATATATATAAACACACCCAGCATTAGAAAAAAAAAAAAAATACACAGATGCATGCTTGCATTCAAACACCAACACCACCTACAAACACACCCCTACATTTACACAAACACACTCCATACAAAAACATGCTTCCATTCAAACACACAAACACAACTCAGTGCTAAATACAACTCTGCAAGCATGGGAAAATGGTTCCGTTACTGCGTTGGGAAGTGGAGATCGTGATTGCATGCCAGGGAGTTAGGGTCAGGGGGCCCTATCAAATGCTTGCCCCGGGCCCAATCATTATTAAAGACGGCCCTGAGGTTACTTATACCTTCTGTTTTAATTAGGTTCCTGTCTGGTTAGGGATAGGGAGGAGCTACCCATTGTTGTGCTGCCATGGCCTATGACCAGGAAAAGAAAATTACGGTAAGTAGGAATACATTTTCCTTTTTCCTGGCCATATCCAAATTAAGTGCAGGCGGCTGTGGCGGGGTTGGCATATTTGCCTTACACATTTGCAAAATATTTTTAATTCTCAGGTAGAAGAATAGTTCCCTGGGCATTAAAAAGAATTCGGCCTGAACTTGGGGAAAATTCTTTAACTTATCAGTAGTAAAGAAACTGTTTACTGTGCTGATGCCTCTGCTGGACCAAGATTACAAGGGGAGATCTGGAGAGAGCGCTGTCAGTGCAGCCAAAGGTAGCCGACATGAGAAGTGAGTAGGGGTCTAGTACTCTCTGTGACCAGATACGCCAAGAGTGTAGTAAAGTTTTAGAGCATAGTAAGGTGGGACTAGTTAAGGGTAGTGGTGCCCTCACCCAGATCATGTTTATCATATTGCTTGGGTGTAACAAGCATTCTAAAGGGACAACCAAGGTGGCCCTGTGTACTCATTGGGTTTAGTAATAAGACGTACACATTGTGCTAGTAGAGTTAACCTGTAGTAGGCATTGATATCTGGCACGCCCAAGCCACCCCTAGAGTAGGAAAGACTCCGTTTTCAACTCGCTATTCGTGGGGGTTTTCTCTTCCAAATGTGCATGTTTATCGCAGACTAAATTTTGGTCGGTAGTGTAAATGGTATTGTGCGAAACAAGTAAAGAATGTGCAGAAGGATCATCATTTTTATCGAGCTATAACGACGTGTTCTTAATTATTCAGAAATGTATAAATATAAAAATATGTATAAATATAAATGTTCCAGCTCAATGTTTTATGATATGGTTCAGACACATGGCATTTCTATTTAATAAAACTTTTTGCAGTTACAACAGGAAAAAATTAAAATAAAAAAAAGATACACCGCATACGATATCCATCTGTACATTGCATCAGGAAGCAGCTCCAGTCGGATACAGCACTGCCCAGCACAAAGGGACATACAGCCATTACAGGACATCACAGCAAGATGTATTTCTATTATAGTACAGATTACAGTACAGCACACAAATAAAACCAAAGAGATATAAGATAAACAATAAAAAAAACAATATCCTTTACATATTAAATAAAAAATAAAATAAAAAAAAACAGCATAGGAGACATAAGAGGAAAAAGAGGGGGTGGATAAGCAAGAGAAGTGATAATGGGAAGAGGGGGGTCGAGGAGACAAAGAAGACAACGGAACCAAACAGAGCAAGAAATAAGAGTACAAGAAAAATCTTGGCCAGCCTGAAAGTCCTCTGAGGTAGTGGATACAGGTCAGTGTGTCTAAGTCACTGTGTATCTGAGACACATGGCATTTAACACCTCCACATTACTGTCTCCCACGCTAGTTTCACAATAACTTAGTGCATTAAATACTTAGTATTTTTAAAATTGTTTTGATGAACTTGTATTTAGTAAAACTATTACTTTGAATCACTCTTCCTGTGCATATATATATAATTTTAATTTAAACAGCAATATAAGGCATTTGGAGACATGGCTAAGGACCTGGTGTACCTGGTGACAGGAGGATGCGGGTACATAGGAGAACACATTGTCCGATTGTTGGTCGCAGAGGACTATGTAAAGGAGGTGAGGGTTTTTGACATCCGTGAAGTGGATCACATCAAAAACCTCAGCACAGGTAAATAATTATCATATTAACTTAAGGATATCGATTATATTTGGACATGTGTCTATCCCTTCACTAGCACATCCTTTTTATTTTACAACATGTGGCTGGTGTACATCCCTGGAACCAAAATGGCATTGCAGTGCACTCCGTGTCCCATATGTCCCTCTCCTCCTTGTGTGTCATTCACAGGGTTATACATTTTAAAAGCAAGTGCAAAATACTGTTATATGTGAAACTCGAAGCTATAAGTGAGTCATATACCCATGACTATATAGTCACAGTGTGGCTATTTCTGCCTGAATTTTGCATTTGAGTTTTGATGTAATTCTAATACTCCTTTACACTGTCTCTTCCCCATTCCAATCTCCTTTATGTGTAAATATTACATTTCCTCCTTTTCTCTTAATTCTATATCAGCTTTTTATTTCCAAATCCTTTTTCCACTTCGTATTGTCCCTTTTAAACTTAGTCTCTTGGTCCTGTATTTCTACCTTTACATTTCTTATTGATTCCTCTCAGGGCCAGACTGGGGATACGAAGCAGCCCTGGAAAAAAATCTATGCCAGCCCCATAAGTCATTGTGCTATGTAGGGTGAATATATATATATATATATATATATATATATATGCAATTAAAATAGTTGGCTGCACTCTCGGATTTCCTTAAAACGTAACTTTTATTGAAATATTTAAGAGAAGATCAACGTTTCAGTCCCTCTTGTGGACTTTCATCAGGATCATGATGAAAGTCCACAAGAGGGACTGAAACGTTGATCTTCTCTTAAATATTTCAATAAAAGTTACGTGTTAAGGAAATCAGAGAGTGCAGCCAACTATTTCAATTGCCTGGATATTGGAGCCCTGGTGATGCACCCGGTCACACAACTTTGAAGCCTGCAAGAGTGCAAGGTACAACAGCTTTTTATATATATATATATATATATATATATATATATATATATATATATAATTTTTTTTTTTTTTTTATTGATACATTTCTTCTTCTAATTCAAAATTTTAGTTCTTTCAGGGTAATTAAATAATACAGTAAAGCATACTCAGACACAGACAATCTTATTGATGCACACAAATAGGCTTATTGACCGACAATCTCAATGACACACACACACACAGACAAGGTTACTGACACACACATACATTTAGTACAGACAGACTCTAATACACAGACAGACAAAGCTCACCGATGCGCACACACTCTCCCTACAGACAAGCCCATTGACACACACATGCTCCCTACAGAAGAGCTCACTGACACACCCATACTCCTTACAGACAACCTCACTAACACGCACACACACATATGATCCCTACAGACAATCTCAGTGACACACATACAAGCTCACTCACTAGCAGGCGCACACACACATACACACACACACAAACTCACTAGCAGATGCGCGCGCACACACACACACACACAAGCTCGCTCGCTCACTAGCAGATGCGCGCACACACATAAAGACATCCACACACACAGAGGCAGACAGTCACTGACACCGAGGCAAACATTCACACATACAGAGACAGGCAGACAGACACACACACACACTGGCAGTCACACACACACACATATACAGGCAGACAGTCACACGCAGACAGTCACACACACAGGCAGACAGTCACACACAGACACACTAACCTGCTTCTTACCTCCCCATCCCTTGGAGCTCCTGGAGGCTGGTTGTTGGGGAAGCAGGGACTCCTTCCTGCTTCCCATGCAGCAGTTACCAGGGCCCCTGCCGCACGCTAGCTCCGCCCCACTGCACGCTAGCTCCACCCCGCCGCAATATTTTTTTTTAAAATGATCCCGGCCAGCCATGTGTGAGCTGTGCCGGCCGCCTGGCTCCCCCTGCTCCCATGGGGCCCTGGCTGGCCGCAGAGCTCACACATAGCCGGCCGGGATTACAGGAGCCTGATCACTGATTAGGGCTGTCAGCCCAGCCCCAGGTGCCGCGGTCCACCGGGAAATTTTCCGGTATCCCGGTGGGCCAGTCCAGCCCTGATTCCTCCTGTCAAGCACATTGTGCATGATTTTGTCCCAGCATGGCAATGTTTTTATCCCTTGAGGTAAGAGTGCCTCCAGGGGTCCTCTGGCACCATAACAACTTAATTTAGATTGTTTTGGTGTCTGGAGTGTCTCTTTAAGTGTGGAGGGTTTTAACCACTTAAAGACCAAGGATTTTTTTTAGCTTTTAATGTGTTTGTGACCAAGGCCTTTGTGACACTTTTGTCCTGTCAAACTTTATGTATACATAATGCAATATTAAATATAAATAAGCTATTTAAAGGACCACTCCACAGCCATAAAGCCCTTCAGCTTGCTAAATTGCTTTATTGGTGGGGAGTATCTTTATAAAAGTGCAGATTTGTATAAGAAAGCAGCACTTTTATTATTTAATAATGGAACACCCTCCTGGCTGTCCATCATACAGCCATGGAGGTTTCCTGCCTACTTCTTTTTCTTCTGGCACCATAACCACTGCAACAGGCTGTATTAGTTATAGTGCTTGGAGTGTTCCTTTAAACCACGGGTCAGCTTGCAAACTTGTTCACCACGTTATTTTAGTCCCCAGTATTTGCAAAGTGCTCCATACAGTTATCAGTTACAGGTAACTGTCCAAAAAATAATGTACTGTATCACCATTGCCTTCCAGGGTAAAACACTGTTATTGCTATAGACTTTGTTGTTATTGTAGCTTCCACCACTGTTACATTGGTTAAAGGAGACATCACAGACTATAATCACGTTCTTAAAGCCACTGCTGGAGTCGATGTTGTAATACACACCGCCGCCCTTGTGGATTTCTTGAACACATCACCTTATCACAAAATGGAAGCTATCAACGTTGGAGGTGAGATTTCCTTTTTATTTTTATTTTTTATTATTATTAATTATGGAAACATTATTCCTAAATTAGATTTCATGCAGCCAACCGATGACGACACATTATATTAATTCTCATAAAAGTTCACATGAGATTTGTAAACTCGCCAACATTAAAACCCCATCACTCCTAAAATCACTCCAGGTTAGAATTCTTTCTCCATAATTAGGAAAAAAAACGGTATCGTGGTCCGACTGCTACACTTTCATCTCACTTTGCCAAGATGAAAATGGACAAAACAATGATTAATAAAGTTGAAATCACCTACAAAAATCACAGGCAGAATCTTTGTCTCAAACTGCACCCTCTGTATCTTTAAGGCAGCATTTTACTGTATTCAGTTGTCCTGGCCTTAAATGAAGTATAAATTATCAATATTGATACAAAACTCCCTTTAAAATGTTTCACAGGAACAGAGAACATCATAAAAGCTTGTTTGGCTCTGGATGTCACCTACCTTGTATATACCAGCTCCATAACATCTGTGGGACCTAATACACGTAATGAACCCATGTTAAGGTGAGAGGTTACTTAGCATCTAGTGTCCAAATATGTAGTAATTTGGCATTATATTTATCTCTACTTTTCTATGTTGAGTATTTTTCCCACTAAGGGGATGTATGCCTTATAATTACGAACAAGTAGTGGTATATAATGTTATATTTTGAGCTCTACTAGGTATAAGCAAGTCCTTTATGTCTCTAATTCTCTATTGTTATTGTTATCTTTATTGATATTAGTCTGCAGTCACAGATATTGACCTATCAAGGATTATATATTAAAGTCTAAACCAGTGAACTCCAGTGCTTATCTCTAGAGACATTAGGAAGGGAGGTTTGCTATTTGGCACTTATTTTCAACTTCCGTCTGACCCATTTGTTAGTATTTTCTACAATTGTATTTCCTCACTGTATATATCTCTATTATTATTATTCATTATTCCAGTGGATACTCATATATTTGTTATTTTGAGTATCTTATAGAATAGGTTTACACTCCTAGAAGTTGAACTGGAACAGCATACAATAAATCCCCCCCAAGAACGAGACAAGGCTCCGTGTTGAGGGTCAAGCAGTGAACAGACAGAGCTGTGGGTTTATTGTTATTATATGCACATTCTTACACATTAGTACCATCCACAGGGTTTTGTAAAACAACCAATAAACGTACATTACACTCAGACACTCCCACACAAAATCCTCCCCTCTGCCTGTGATACAATTACCTTACACAATGGGTTAATGTAATTATCACAGGCAGAGAAATACAGTTTTTCCACATTATTCATAACTTTAAAAGTATGCATCACATTCACATAAAACTTACATTTTCAGAATCAGCATAATACAAATATATGTCAAAATCATCTAAATTGGTCCATTGGTTCAAAAGATAGATCGAAGTCCTTTGTGACCAAAGGAAGCATGGCTTTTCTGCCCAAAACCAGTTCCAGAGAGTCTTCTATCCTGGAGATAATTGGGAAGTAATCCAATTATCTCCAAGGACAGAGGCAAAACTCCATTAAAGGACCACTATAGTGCCAGGAAAACATACTCGTTTTCCTGGCACTATAGTGCCCTGAGGGTGCCCCCACCCTCAGGGACCCCCTCCCGCCCGGCTCTGGAAGGGGAAGGGGTAAAAACTTACCTTTTTCCAGCACTGGGGCTCTCCTCCTCCGATCCTCCTTCTCTCCTCCCGTCGGCTGAATGCGCACCGCGGAAGAGCTGCTTGCGCGCATTCAGCCGGTCGCATAGGAAAGCATTATCAATGCTTTCCTATGGACGCTGGCGTGCTCTCACTGTGATTTTCATCGACGGCAGGAGCCGCGCGCGCATTCATCTGGTCGCATAGGAAAGCATTTACAATGCTTTCCTATGGACGCTTGCGTGCTCTCACTGTGATTTTCACAGCGAGAAGCACACAAGCGCCTCTAGCAGCTGTCAATGAGACAGCCACTAGAGGGAATGGGGGAAGGCTTAACCCATTCATAAACATAGCAGTTTCTCTGAAACTGCTATGTTTATAAAAAAAAATGGGTTAACCCTATTAACCCTAGCTGGACCTGGCACCCAGACCACTTCATTAAGCTGAAGCGGTCTGGGTGCCTAGAGTGGTCCTTTAAGCACATGGCAGTAAAAAGACCGTAAAATACAATAAAATACACAAGGTTAAATTTATTACATAAAATACAGACATGCATATCCCCAGATAGCTTAGGTCTGAGCGGACATTATTACTGAATGGGGATCAGACCACACACATACAGTTCAATTGCCATGGAGCCAAAGTCTTTTCTTACACGAATAGGCTCCATGGCATAGCTATCTGTGTTAAATGAGTTCATTCAGTAAATCCGAGAATCTACCGAACGCCAGGGCAGAAATACGTGAATAAACCTTTCTGCATAGGAAAATGAAGTATTTAAATGCCGGTCCATAGTCAAAAGGCAGCAGGCAGGCAACCAGGCTCCTCCAATGCACAGTGGCAAGATTGGTCTCGTCACATGTACACTATTATAAATTAACCTAGTTACAACCCCTTGGCTTTCAGTCAAACAACTAGTCCTGTTGCTTCCTGGTTATTTAGTTCAGTGGAGCTAAACTCATGAAGCAGCAATTGACCGGAACACCTGCGTTGCAAAGACATCTCATTGAGCTGCGTTGGGAAGTCTGTGATTGGACAGCCACAGAAAATCTGTGAGGGGTTAGAAGGGGAGGGCTTGTAAAGGCTGCAGACAAGATAATGCATAATTAAATGCATGCATGTTTTCATCTGGAGTATATATACTAAACAGTGATTTATCTTTTTATTTGGGAAGTGGAGTATCCCTTTAATAGTCCTCACCATTTATTTTTTTATTTCAAGAAAAATTGGAGTGGCCTTGCCCCACCTGCCACTAATGATCAACCTCCATTTTATCATAGCTTGTTAAAATACAGATTAAACAGTAACCTTGTAACACTTTGAATAAAGCATAATTTGGCTGCCCTTTGGACAGATATTTTGAAAGTTATTGCTGTCAGTTTACTATTCCACACGTAATGAAAACTGTCTGAGTATTATGAAGCAATAAAAATTGCATGTACACACACGTTCCACAGCAATACATTCCACAAACTGCACATGTGAGAATATAGTAGTGATGCCGGCTTTGTAGACAGCAGGATCAAGATGGCTGTGCCCAGGAGGGACCGGTTCAGGTAAGTAAATCTCACCGTTACCTGACCACACTGGCCACTGGACCATCACAATTGGGGGTCTTTGTGAATTTCCCCTGACAGTGACAGTGCCGCATGTTGCAAGGTGGGGTATCCATGGATCGGATTTATTGTTCCAGTACATCCCACAGATACTCAATCAGATTGCAATCTACTGAATTTGGAGGTAATGGCAACACCTCTTTGTCATGTTCCTCAAACCATTCCTGAACAGGTTTTGTAGTGTTGCAGGGTGCGTTATCTCGCTGAAAGAGGCCAATGCCAATAGGGAACAACGTTGCCATGAAGGGCAATGGCCTCTTCAATTCTCCCATTGCTCCCATTGCTCCCTGGTCCAGTTCTGGCACTTACATCCTCATTAAAGGTGCTTTTGGCAATAGACAGGGGTCATCATGTGCACTCTTACTGGTCTGTGGCTACACAGCCCCATACGCTGCATACTGTGATGCACTGTGTGATCCGACACCTTTTATCATGGCCAGCAAAGACAGGCTAGCCTTCCCTCCCCACATGCATCAATGGGCCTTGGGTGCCCATGACCATGATGGCAGTTCACCAGTTGTCCTTCCTTGCACCACTTTTAATATGTACTAAACACTGCATACCGGGAACACGCAAGACAAGACACAAGACTTGCCATTTTGTAGATGCTCTGGCCCAGTCATCTAGCCATCATTATTTGGCCCTTGTCAAAGTAACACAGATCTTTTCACTTGCCTTTTTTTCCTGCTTCCAACACATGAAATTCAAGAACTAACTGTTCATTAGCTGCCACATATCTCACCCCTGACAGGTGCCATTGTAATGATATAATCAGTGTTATTCACTTCACCTGTCAGTGGTTTTTAATGTTGTGGCTGATCAATGTAGGTAATTTGGAGTATTTCTCAACTCATGCTTGTGTGTGATTGTATGTAGATTGGATTAATCATACATAGCCAATATATATGTAAGTACCCCAAAATGTGGACAGTGCTAAACATTACACACATACAAACAAACACACAGATACACACAGACACATAGGTACACACATTAAAAATTTAGCCACCCAGCAGTTTCTTACCTTCAGTTGGCTATGGCTGGTGGGAGTTGGGGTCTGCTCTCCTGGTTTGGCTACATCCTCGGGGCTCCTGTCTCCCATTCGTCTCGGTATGGTATGTTATAGCTGGGAGGAAGTAAGAGGCTGTCACTTTCTCCCAGCTCTTCCTGCGGAAAGAAGGGGCCCAGTCGCACTGTTAAAGCGTTGCAGCGCACGACCGGGCCCCTCATTGATATTTTGATACTAACATTTTTTTCCACTAGACTAGCAACTTAGATATGCACTTTTTCTCCATTGATAATTTTTTTACTTGGCTGCCAATTGTAAATCCATAGTTCTTATGCAAATCTGACTACAGGGAGTGCAGAATTATTAGGCAAATGAGCATTTTGACCACATCATCCTCTTTATGCATGTTGTCTTACTCCAAGCTGTATAGGCTCGAAAGCCTACTACCAATTAAGCATATTAGGTGATGTGCATCTCTGTAATGAGAAGGGGTGTGGTCTAATGACATCAACACCCTATATCAGGTGTGCATAATTATTAGGCAACTTCCTTTCCTTTGGCAAAATGGATCAAAAGAAGGACTTGACAGGCTCAGAAAAGTCAAAAATAGTGAGATATCTTGCAGAGGGATGCAGCACTCTTAAAATTGCAAAGCTTCTGAAGCGTGATCATTGAACAATCAAGCGTTTCATTCAAAATAGTCAACAGGGTCGCAAGAAGCGTGTGGAAAAACCAAGGCGCAAAATAACTGCCCATGAACTGAGAAAAGTCAAGCGTGCAGCTGCCACGATGCCACTTGCCACCAGTTTGGCCATATTTCAGAGCTGCAACATCACTGGAGTGCCCAAAAGCACAAGGTGTGCAATACTCAGAGACATGGCCAAGGTAAGAAAGGCTGAAAGACGACCACCACTGAACAAGACACACAAGCTGAAACGTCAAGACTGGGCCAAGAAATATCTCAAGACTGATTTTTCTAAGGTTTTATGGACTGATGAAATGAGAGTGAGTCTTGATGGGCCAGATGGATGGGCCCGTGGCTGGATTGGTAAAGGGCAGAGAGCTCCAGTCCGACTCAGACGCCAGCAAGGTGGAGGTGGAGTACTGGTTTGGGCTGGTATCATCAAAGATGAGCTTGTGGGGCCTTTTCGGGTTGAGGATGGAGTCAAGCTCAACTCCCAGTCCTACTGCCAGTTCCTGGAAGACACCTTCTTCAAGCAGTGGTACAGGAAGAAGTCTGCATCCTTCAAGAAAAACATGATTTTCATGCAGGACAATGCTCCATCACACGCGTCCAAGTACTCCACAGCGTGGCTGGCAAGAAAGGGTATAAAAGAAGGAAATCTAATGACATGGCCTCCTTGTTCACCTGATCTGAACCCCATTGAGAACCTGTGGTCCATCATCAAATGTGAGATTTACAAGGAGGGAAAACAGTACACCTCTCTGAACAGTGTCTGGGAGGCTGTGGTTGCTGCTGCACGCAATGTTGATGGTGAACAGATCAAAACACTGACAGAATCCATGGATGGCAGGCTTTTGAGTGTCCTTGCAAAGAAAGGTGGCTATATTGGTCACTGATTTGTTTTTGTTTTGTTTTTGAATGTCAGAAATGTATATTTGTGAATGTTGAGATGTTATATTGGTTTCACTGGTAATAATAAATAATTGAAATGGGTATATATTTGTTTTTTGTTAAGTTGCCTAATAATTATGCACAGTAATAGTCACCTGCACACACAGATATCCCCTAACATAGCTAAAACTAAAAACAAACTAAAAACTACTTCCAAAAATATTCAGCTTTGATATTAATGAGTTTTTTGGGTTCATTGAGAACATGGTTGTTGTTCAATAATAAAATTAATCCTCAAAAATACAACTTGCCTAATAATTCTGCACTCCCTGTAATTAAGATTCATAATATTGTGCGTTTTATTACTAAGGTGTTATAAAACATTGTGTTAAAGGAACAAGGGCCCACCTGCTACATCCTGAGGTTTTGGTATCTCCAGGAGTAGGTGGCTCCTCACATGAGGATTTAGCATAGATATGCATCTTAGTATCAATTCACCCTTCCACAACTGAAGTTGGCCGTACATTTATAGAATGTGAATACAATGCATTGTATTTGCTGCCTAGGCTAATATGTAGCAGAATGCATGTAAAGCATACATTTAATGCACTTTCAAACACAGTTATTATCAAAACGGCTCTATACCATCATCTACTGACATCAAGTAGTACTACAACATTATGGTCCTACCTTCTCTACAATTTACAATTGTGTATTTAAATTGTTGGATCAACTTGAAGTGAACTCTAAAAATAAATGTAGGCAGTGCTAATTTTCAATTAACATTCTGTAACCATGAAGATATACCAGTAAAAAGAAAATGTAAAATAGTTTCTACATATACACATCAATAACATTAAATTAAAACACGTTTTGACAAAAATAGTCCAGAGTTTAATGATACATTTTAATGAAAATTAACTGGTAAAACGAGACAAAGCGGCTTCAAAGTGTTTTGCACAAAAGAATGTTTGAACAATTCTAGAACAAATTGGTGATATCTTTAATACACTTTAATGGAAGTCTAGAGTGTGAAAGTGGCATTTTACACCTGGGTTTGTTCAAAAATCTACAGAGATTGTATAAGCATGAATCACTTTTCATTGTATCTTGAAGTAGGCGTTTTTAATAAAAATTAAGTCTTTTTTAGAACATTACCAATTAATTACACAGGTGCTCTGGATTTTCTTGTTGCACTTGTTCTGCTTTGTTTATAACATGGATACGACAGTGACATACAAGGCTGCCTGATGTTACAGAGACAAAATGGTAGCACCACAACCATGTAATATAGTTATGAGTGCAAGACTCAAACCATTCTTTCATCTTACTAACCCCAAAGATTAGCAGACCTCTAAGCTGTAAACAAATGCAAAACAAAATTTTGATAAACCTACTTGAACTATCTATGGTCTTTGCCATATCACAAGATGATTTATAGATATTCTAAGCTACACCGATAAGCCACAACATGAAAAACCACTGAAAGATGAAGTTAATAACATTGACTATATCATAACAATGGCACTTGTCAAAAGGGGGGAGGGGGGGATATATTAGGCAGCAAGTGTACAGTCAGTTCTTAAAATCCATGTGTTGGAAGCAGATTCAAATTACTTTGACAAGGGCCAAATTATGATGGCTAGACTATGTGATGATAGAAAGGTGTTTAGAATACACAGTGCATCACAATTTGCTGGGTATGGTTCTGTGTAGCCACAGACCAGTCAGGGTGTCCTTGATGACCCCTGTCCACTGCCGATAGTGCCTACAATGGAGGAAGGTTGCCTGGTCTGATGAATCATATTTTCTTTTAGATCCGGTGGATGGTTGGATGCATGTGCATCCTTTACCCGGGGCAGAGATGGTAGCAGGATGCACTACGGGAAGAAGGCAGGTCAGCTGAGGCAGTGTTATGCTCTAGGCAATGTTCTGCTGGGTAACTTTGGGTCCTGGAATTCATGTGGATGTTACATGTACCATCTACCTAGTACCATCTACCTATAGATTGTTGCAGAACACGTACACCCCTTCATGGCAATGATTTTCTCTGATGGCAATGGCCTCTCTCCGCAAAATAATGCACCCTGCCACACTGCAAAAATAATTCAGGCTTGGTTTGAGGAACATGACAAAGAGTTCAAGGTGTTGCATTGGCCTTCAAATTCCCCAGATCTCAGTCCTATTGAGCATCTGTGGGATGTCCTGGAACAACAAATAGGATACATTGAGGCTCTGCCTAACAACTTGCAGGACCTGCTGCTAATGTCTTGGTGCCAGTTACCACAGGATCATTTCAGAGGTCTTGTGGAGTCCATGCCTTGATGCACCAGAGCTGTTTTGGCAGCATGAGGGGGGTCCACACATTCAAACATTCAACAATATTTAGGCAGTGGTTTTAATGTTATGGCTGATCAGTGTATGTATGGCATCATGTAAAAAGAAAACACAAAAACCTTATAAAAAGAGAAACAACCAAATCACACAAGACTTCCAGACTTGTTTAAGAATGAGTTTGGGCATCCACGTGACACTTTCTCCAGCTATGTTTTTCTTTTGTTACAGAGGCACAGAAGAGACCGTGTACAGTGGCAAACTAGGACTGTTATATGGAAAATCCAAGGCTTCTGCTGAAAAATCAGTTCGACAGGCTAATGACAGATCGGTAAGAGTGTGATGCTGTACAACTGACACGTTTCAAATGTGTAGTGAATAAATGCAGCAGATTATCTGTTAGGACACTCTAAGCACTACAACCACTGCAGTTTGCTTTTGTAGTTTTAGTGTAAAGAGCATTTAAATGCTGTCTCCATCCTTGATTTGTGTCAAACCATCTGCTTAAAGTAACAATCAAAACCCTTAGAGCACTTCAGCTCACAGAAGAGTTCTAGGGATTAAAAGAGCGCTAACCCCCCACCCCTCACCCCTCCTTTGTCACTTGGTACAATTTTTTTTCAAGTCCTTTCCGAGAATTAGGTATTTCTGATCTATTGAGCCATTAGTGAACTGACAGTGAATGGTACTAACCTTCATATTTCTTCATATTCTTCTTACTACCCTCTCTTGCCATCTTAATTTTCAGACAAGCCATGGAAAGAAATTATTCACTTGTGTTATTCGACCAAGTAATATTTATGGTGAAAAAACGCAGAATTTGCTTGAGAGCTACATCGCTGCAAAGTCAAAAAATGGACGGATAAATTATTTGGAACCCGAAAATGTGGATCAGTGCTACATATATGTGGGTAAGAGGAAGTATCATATAGCAATGCCTTTAATTTTGCAACAGCGATCAAACACCATTGATTTACACTTGAACCCACCCTCTGAACTTCTCTACATTAAGAGAGTTAAAACTTGTCAATAAAATAAAGTATTGTACTTGTAAAAAATTGTAAGTAGTGTACTTCATCTCATTTAAGTGATCTGGTTGCAGTGTTCCTGTCCCTCTAAGTCATGCAGTGTAAAACATTCAATTTTAGATATGCACCATTGATTTCTGTGGATTTGTGCTGCAAAAAAAAACGTTTGTGCCACTTTGGTTCTGGAGATATTGCACATTATAATTTAAAGGGATTTTATAGTGCCAGGAAAACAAACCAGCTCTGTGTACCTCTGTAATCCTAACCTCAGGTGATCTACTGGTATTGCTGTACTTCTATAATCCTGACTTGTTCTCTCATTATGCTTTATCTCTCTATTTGCCTTTTAGCCTGGCCAATTTTAAAGACCGGTTATACAGTGTGTCCTGCTTTTCTAAATTCAGCTTAGGTTATGTGTTGCAGGGTATTGTAATCCTGACACTTCTGCCTTTGACTGGTAGACGAATCATGTAACCAGAAGAAACCTTATAAGAAGCGTTTAAAGAGTGTTAATCAATTATTAAAAATACTTTACTAGGAAGTGCCTCTGCTGGCTGTCTGGTTGACTAACTCTCTGCTTGTCAGCCACAAGAGGCATCCTGACTGGCAATGCTACCTTGCAGCTTCTCACAATTGGCATTGTCAAACTGCTAACAAAGTTTTTGTACCTAATCCACGCCATTAAAGAAGCCCTGTCATGTTTGTTTTGTTTTTCCAGTTTTACATATGTTTCTGTGACTTTTTTTTAATGGATATCAGCAGCATTTAGTATAGGAGTTTCCAATGGATCAAGAGAAGAGGCATTCGGGGTAAAAGAGGTCAATCTTTGGGACATTTGGCTATGGGGATGCTTAAATTTTTCAGGTTCTTTTGGGGCTAATGGTAACTTTTTGTTTGGTTTGAGTGTGTCTCAACATTTAAAGGAAAAGTGTGCTCGGTCTTTGCTTGTATTTCAAATACTTTCTCAACAATTTGTGGTCTTATGCATTTTTCTTACTTAAAAAAAATAGGATTTTTTTATTTCGGTGAGGCTGGCATGTTTTCAGTTGCCTTTTTAAAAAATATTTATATGTAAACCATCTAACTGCATTCTGTCCATGTTGATTATAGGTAATGTGGCCTGGATGCATGTACTTGCTGCTCGGCAACTGCAGATGAAGCCGGAACTCCTGGGAGGTCAAGTGTACTATTCCTATGACGACACTCCAGTGAGGCAGAGATACAAACTTCTTTATGAATTATACACTGATATTGACCCAAGAATTCAACTGGGCTCACACATTCCTTACTGGAAGATGTGGTTAATTATATCTGTGTTTAATTTGATTGCATTCCTTGTTAGTCCTTTTTGGACGTTAAAACCATTTATGAATTTAGGCATTTTGAATTACATGGTCACTACATTTTCTTATCAAACCGACAAGGCCTTCAGGCACTTTGGCTACCAGCCCAAATATAGCTGGGAGGAGGCAAAGATCAGAACTTGCAAATGGTTAAAAGAGGTCATATAGTGTTTCTCCTCCAACCCGGACAAAAACTAACATAACAGAACCAAACTAGGGCCTCGATTTAATATTGCACGATACATTTTCTCAATATTCTTTTCAAAATATTAAAACATCAAAAAAAATTATATAACAAAAATATATATTAAAAAAAGACAAAATTTTAGTATTTTTCATATGAAATTATTTTACATAGTATCCTAATATACTAAATCATTTGGAAAATGTATCCAACAAGATTAAATTGAGGCCAAGGTCCTTAAAGGTGCCCTGTTAATGATAATATCAAATTTTGGTGTTTTCTACAGTATTAAATGTAATTTGTTCAGTAAAAAGAAAAAACACCAAAAGAAAAACTGCTGTATTTAGCTCTCTCCTAAAAGAGAGTACCTCCACCTGTGCTCCCTGTCAATCACGGTTATCAGGTCTGCCCTTTTCTGTCATTGAAGAAAGGATGTGAAAGCAAACAATGTTTCTGTTTATCTGTCTACATTGTGATGCATGCCTTGGCTGTACTAAAACTGGACTGGATTGTGATATGATTTCCTAATCCTTTAGTAGGTTAACACAAGTTATATGTGATTATCAATGCTTTATTCCACGGTGTAATTTTCAGAATAGTGAGGTAATATATCAGGTCTGATCTTGGTTAAATAAGGAATTAAAAAAAAAATATATATATATATTCTGGTTTCTATTCCAAATCTGTCTATAAGAGATTATATCTATAACTTGTGCATGCTGAATGACTAGTACATCTATAGATTTGCAGATATACTAAAAATACTAACCCCACATTTGGGTCCAACCAAACCTCGAGTGATATCCACACATGTGTTATATGTGCACATGCATCTCACTCAACATGCACCCGAATCCCACCCAAAATCAAAGTACTTCCTGAATGGATTCAAAAATGCCATATTTTATTGTATATAAACAATATTATTCTGACAACACTATATAACCCAAATACTACACCACTACATTCAAAGTGAAAAAAAAGACTCCTAACACTTTATACCCATATTGATGATAAAAAAATACATGTTTCTATCTAGCTATCTATCGTTCGTTCGTTCGTTCTAATCAGCAATGTAATATTTAAAAAAAATATATTTTAGATCTTCTGATTAATGTGTAATATCTTACATTTTTCACAATTAGAAGATTATATCTCTTGGAATATATAAGAAGAGTATGTTACTTTGTTATTACTCCAAATACTTAATAGCTATCAATATGAACATTTGAAAACCTAGCTAAAGTTTGGTTCAAGGATCCCCATGCACAATACTTAGTATGGTAAATTGTACATTTATCATGCATATTCGGCAACATTTGCCATTATCTTTGGAGAGAACCATCACAGAGAAAATATCTCAATCATTATGGTAACAGCAACACTACAAACTACGACTGATGAGATGGTGATAATTAGAAAGTGAATGGGAGAGGGAGGTGTACAAGAATATATAGATAGTAAGATAAATAAAAGTAGGGGAATAAATAAGAAGATGATTAAAACAGAGTGGAAGTTATAAAAAAACAAAAAACAGGGATGCAGAAAATAAAGATAGGAGGGAGGAGGGACAAAGAGATAGAGATGAGAAAACTGAATCCACACTGCTCAGTGAGAAATCAGAAATAGAGGAAACTGGAAAAAGTAGAATCAATGTGCAATAAGCCTGTGGAAAGAATGGGAACATAAAAATTTGGAAATGGAGAATGCGAAGTGAGAGAAATACATCTAGCGTATGCTGGGTTTTGTGGTATATTTTTGGAAATAGAAGTGAGCAATGTAAATTGAGAGCTAGAGAAGGAAAGGCTGTAGGTAAAACATCATACGTAGTTAGGTGAGCAAAAATGAGGATAAGGAAAGGGTTGATCAAAAAACGTATAGGAACATGAATGGTACGAATTACCAATAAGGTGGGTGTTTTGGTGGGTAGGTTAACCAGCTGGGGATAACATATATGGTGAGAATGTGGTGATTGAGGTTGTTGTGAGTATCAGAAAGTTACAGGGAAAGTATAGCACAGCTCCCGAGTGTATTTAGGAGGGATAGTCTCTATTTCGGGCCAAAATCTCTCTGTCCCTCTTGTCTATCTGAATGTCCCTCTTTTCTAGGAGCTCCATTAAAATTTCCACTAATGTATCTATAAATTTTAATAAATATGTTTAGGAAGCAGTCTGTGTAAACATGGCTTCTTGTTCTGGTAATAAATTACATTTTAGTTTTCAAAAATGATTAGTCACCCAAGACTTCTCAGAACAGCCCCGCTGATTGCCACACACCAATGACCCCTAAAATGAAAGTGTCCTTCTTTGAAATAGTAGGCGATGCATTGTATAAGTAATGCTTTAAAATGTGCAAAATAAAAATATATTTACAGCTTTACATTCCTCTGCAGTATTACTGTTAATGGGTCTTCCTGCAGCTACAGAGTAAGACACTTGCCTCCAAGGGCACATGCTAACCTCAGAGGATATAGCTAAACCAGAGCAGATCAGATCCCCGTAGTAGACGCCACAGATAATCCCCGCACTGGACTTGTTACTTACCTAGCTATACAGTATTTGTGCCACACTTTTTAGAGGTGTTCTTGCACATGCTGGAGAGTGTAACAGTATAACACTGATGTGGGCTCCTGGCAGATGAAGCACCAGGAACGGAAGAGGACTGGGAGGATGACCATGGTGGAGGCAGCAAGAATCAGAGTCAGATTCAGGTAAGTAAAACTCATCTTCCTCAGCACCCAATGTCCACGGAACACCCAGTAGACCAAAAAATTGCAATCACTACCATCTGTTTAAAATGCATTGGATAGGTACACTACAAAGGTACAATACAAAACAAAACATTTATAACAATTTGGAAATACTACATTCCTATTTCATATGCCTCTTTCCAGTGATGGAGCTAATGTAGAGAGGTTCTTGGTGCAAGAATATTTTTGGGGTCCGCCTGTAGAGCAAGTATGGCCAAAAGGTAGATCCTCATCTGTCGTACAGCTCCCACAATGCTTTAGAACATGGGGATCTACCATGTGCCCATCCTTGCAAAGCTGTATTTGTGAACAGTGTTTGTGTTTGAATGTAAGCATGTTTTGTGTGTTTGAATGTATGTATGCATGTATTTGTGTGTAGTGTTGGCATTTGAATGTAGCTGTATGTTTGTACTGTTGCTATTTGAAAACAGTGATGTGTTTGTGTTTTTATGCACAGTTGTTTTGATTATGCACATACACTGCAACACACAAAATAACACACACACACACACACGTAAAAACAAAGATCACAGTTAAGTTTGTTTTAGCCACCCCCTGCTTTGATATATTTTTGGTGCAGGAGGGTGGCTTCACTGGGGTCCAGTGGCAGCTGGCTGAGTCTGATGGGAATCTGGTCCAGGCTCTACCTTCTTTATGGTTCTCGTCTCTCTCCCACTGATTAAAGATGGTCATCGAGGGTGAATAAGTGCATGGGCCACCTGATGGGCCCCTTGAGCTTGTGTGCCCCAGTGCAGCTGTCGCCAGTTGCACTGGGGGTAGTTCCGCCACTGCCTCTTCTTTCCTTATTTTTTTAAATCTCCTGATCTGTTAATTGAACTTTTAGCACATGCAGAGGCTCCCACGGTCTGTAGGTTTTCTTTTTTTCCCCCTCATATTTTTCTGACTACTTTCTGTGAATGTAATTCAGCTTTTCCAGTAGTTGCTAGTGATATAGAGATAATCAGCCATTTCTCGGTTTGGTGAGGACTCACTCGTTTTAATAATTTGTAAAAAAAAAAAAAAAAAATTTCATTCACTATCTATATAATGCATTGAAAAAAAATACAATTTGGTTTCACTTTAACCTTAACCCCTTAAGACCGGAGGGCGTACTATTACGCCCTATTTTAGGCGGCTCTAAACGCCGCCGGGCATGATAGTACGCCCTCCGTTTTTTTCCTACTTACCCAGTCGCCGTCGATCCCACGCCGGCGATCGCGGTTGGGGGTACTCCCAGGGAGCCCCCCGCAGCACATCCGTCCTCCTGCAGCCCCTCCCGGCCATGTGAGAATGATAGCTGCCTGCTGTATTGCCAGCAGGGGGACTGCCTGTAATGACAGGTAGTCTCCCTGCTGGCTGGAAATAAAATCAAATAAAATGTAAAAGTGTACAAAATTTTTTTATATACTTAGATCATATATATTATAGATATATGATCTAAGTATATATATATATATATATATATATATATATATATATATATATATATATATATATATATATATATATATATATATATATATATACACACACACACACATATACATACACACACACACACATGCACTAAGTGTATTTTACTGTTAATATATATATTTATATATGTGTATTAATATCAAATTACACGTAGACTGATACTGATTAAATATATATATATATATATATATATATATATATATATATATATTATTGTTATATATATATATATTATATATACAGGGAGTGCAGAATTATTAGGCAAGTTGTATTTTTGAGGATTAATTTTATTATTGAACAACAACCATGTTCTCAATGAACCCAAAAAACTCATTAATATCAAAGCTGAATATTTTTGGAAGTAGTTTTTAGTTTGTTTTTAGTTATAGCTATGTTAGGGGGATATCTGTGTGTGCAGGTGACTATTACTGTGCATAATTATTAGGCAACTTAACAAAAAACAAATATATACCCATTTCAATTATTTATTATTACCAGTGAAACCAATATAACATCTCAACATTCACAAATATACATTTCTGACATTCAAAAACAAAACAAAAACAAATCAGTGACCAATATAGCCACCTTTCTTTGCAAGGACACTCAAAAGCCTGCCATCCATGGATTCTGTCAGTGTTTTGATCTGTTCACCATCAACATTGCGTGCAGCAGCAACCACAGCCTCCCAGACACTGTTCAGAGAGGTGTACTGTTTTCCCTCCTTGTAAATCTCACATTTGATGATGGACCACAGGTTCTCAATGGGGTTCAGATCAAGTGAACAAGGAGGCCATGTCATTAGATTTTCTTCTTTTATACCCTTTCTTGCCAGCCACGCTGTGGAGTACTTGGACGCGTGTGATGGAGCATTGTCCTGCATGAAAATCATGTTTTTCTTGAAGGATGCAGACTTCTTCCTGTACCACTGCTTGAAGAAGGTGTCTTCCAGGAACTGGCAGTAGGACTGGGAGTTGAGCTTGACTCCATCCTCAACCCGAAAAGGCCCCACAAGCTCATCTTTGATGATACCAGCCCAAACCAGTACTCCACCTCCACCTTGCTGGCGTCTGAGTCGGACTGGAGCTCTCTGCCCTTTACCAATCCAGCCACGGGCCCATCCATCTGGCCCATCAAGACTCACTCTCATTTCATCAGTCCATAAAACCTTAGAAAAATCAGTCTTGAGATATTTCTTGGCCCAGTCTTGACGTTTCAGCTTGTGTGTCTTGTTCAGTGGTGGTCGTCTTTCAGCCTTTCTTACCTTGGCCATGTCTCTGAGTATTGCACACCTTGTGCTTTTGGGCACTCCAGTGATGTTGCAGCTCTGAAATATGGCCAAACTGGTGGCAAGTGGCATCGTGGCAGCTGCACGCTTGACTTTTCTCAGTTCATGGGCAGTTATTTTGCGCCTTGGTTTTTCCACACGCTTCTTGCGACCCTGTTGACTATTTTGAATGAAACGCTTGATTGTTCGATGATCACGCTTCAGAAGCTTTGCAATTTTAAGAGTGCTGCATCCCTCTGCAAGATATCTCACTATTTTTGACTTTTCTGAGCCTGTCAAGTCCTTCTTTTGACCCATTTTGCCAAAGGAAAGGAAGTTGCCTAATAATTATGCACACCTGATATAGGGTGTTGATGTCATTAGACCACACCCCTTCTCATTACAGAGATGCACATCACCTAATATGCTTAATTGGTAGTAGGCTTTCGAGCCTATACAGCTTGGAGTAAGACAACATGCATAAAGAGGATGATGTGGTCAAAATACTAATTTGCCTAATAATTCTGCACTCCCTGTAATATAAAAAAATAAATATGTAAATACGTTAAAAAATAAAACAGCACTTACACGGACGATATTATTGCTGCGATACTTTTTACTGTTTTGAAACACAAATATTTGTGTTCAGCGAAGTCTCACGAGTACAACAGTACCCTTCATGTACAGGTTTTATGGTGTTTTCAAAAGTTACAGTGTCAAATATAAGGCTTGTGTTTCATTTTTTTCACATTAAAATTCGCCAGATTGGTTACGTTGCCTTTGAGACCCTATGGTAGCCCAAGAATGAAAATTACCCCTATGATGGCATACCATTTGCAATAGTAGACAACCCAAGGTATTGCAAACGGGGTATGTCCAGTCTTTTTTAGTAGCCACTTAGTCACAAACACTGGCCAAAATTGGTGTTTTTTGCATTTTTCACACACAAACAAATACTAACGCTAACTTTGGCCAGTGTTTGTGACCAAATGGCTACTAAAAAAGACTGGACATACCCCATTTGCAATACCTTGGGTTGTCTACTATTGCAAATGGTATGCCATTATGGGTGTAAGTTTCATTCCTGGGCTACTATACAGTCTCAAAGGCAACGTAACCAATCTGGCGAATTTCAATTTCAAATGTAACGTGCTATATTTGACCCTGTAACTTCCCAAAATGCCATAAAACCTGTACATAGGGGGTACTGTTTTACACGTGAGACTTTGCTGAATACAAATATGTGTATTTTATTGCAGTAAAAGCAAACAGTGTTATGACATTGACAGTTAAAATGTCATGTAGAACTAAGAAAAATAAAAAATCTTATTTTCTCCCATTTTTTTCATATTAAATTATGTTTCATAGCTAAATATATGATATTAAATGAAAGCCCTGTTTCCCCTGAATAAAATTATATATAATAAGTGTGAGTGCATTTACTATGAAAGAGGTGAATTACGGTTGGACAGACATGTAGCGCAAATGCCAGGTTTTGTTTACATTTTGTTTTGTTCACAACGTGTACATTTGGCTCTGTCCTTACGGGGTTAAGGGGTTAAAGGACCACTGAAGTCACCCAGGTCATTTCATCACAATGAAGTGGCCTGGGTGTTATGGCCCTGTAGGTTTAACCCTGCAATGTTTTTTTAGAAACAGCAATGCTCACCTTTCAGGCTTAAACACACATTCAGTGACAAAATGCTGATAATGGCTGAGAATTACAATACCTTGTAAAAATACTGCAGGTCTAAGAAAGACTCTCAGAGTTGTTAATCAGGCAACAAGGAACTTGTTTTGGAAGGTAAAGTTACAAGATAATACAAACATAAACGTATGCACTTGTGGGATTCTGGGAGTTTTTTTTTTCAATAAGATCTCTGCCATTAATAACGTGACTGGAACATTTCATTGTACATATATAAATAAAATTCAATAAATTGCCTATACGTTTTTAGTTTTAGTCTACAATCAATTTACAATCATTTCCTTTTTTTTCGTGTGTATCATTTTGTTTATTAAATGTGTGTAATGTAATTTTTAAAAAATTTATTTAGCTTTTAAAGTTCTATTTTATTTTTAACCATTCTAATAAATATTTTCCATTCCAATGTGATACTTCTAGTTCTTTTAGTTTGTCCTTCTTTTCCTTTTTTGGGGGCTCAAAGATCTGCTAATTTCAAATGTAGATAAAACTGATAGTAAATCCACCTTGGAATGTCACATATATACTGTAACAGCAATAATTATTAATAAATGCTTATCCTTTCAATAAGTTACCTTTCATGAGGGAAGGAGTGCCACCTAGTGGAGAAGACTGACATTTGATCTAATCTAATTTCCACAATAATTTAATTTCAGGAAAGTAAGACACTTTTTTTTAACAATTATTTCCCTGTCACTAAAAAACATTCTTAATTTTGCCATTTGACTGAGGGATTATGCATCTAATAAAAACCAAAAAAAAAAGTTACTTGCACACTATCCCAAATCCCTATGCACATTTAAGTAAATGGAGATTTTTCAGTATCACGCCAGTGGCCATTCACTGTGTAAGTGCAAGTTCCCCTGCCACATCAAGGCAAAACCTCTTAGGTGAGTCCTACAATAAAATTTACCTTGCTGCATCTGCTAAAAGGTAAAATATCTAATGAGGCAGTCTCACCAAGACCCCATCTACTCACATCCTAAACATAGAAACATAGAATGTGATGGCAGATAAGAACCATTCGGCCCATCTAAATACTTTCATTAGTCCCTGGCCTTATCTTATAGTTAGGATAGCCTTATGCCTATCCCACGCTTAAACTCCCTCACTGTTTTAACCTCTACCACTTCAGCTGGAAGGCTATTCCATGCATCCACTACTCTCTCAGTAAAGTAATACTGATTTTATGTTTAAACCTTTGCCCCTCTGATTTAAGACTATGTCCTCTTGTTGTGGTAGTTTGTCTTCTTTTAAATATAGTCTCCTCCTTTATTCTGTTGATTCCCTTTATGTATTTAAATGTTTCTATCATATTCCCCCGTCTCGTCTTTCCTCCAAGCTATACATGTTAAGATCCTTTAACCTTTCCTGGTAAGTTTTATCCCGCAATCCATGAACCAGTTTAGTAGCACTTCTCTGAACTCTCTCTAAAGTGTCAATATCCTTCTGAAGATACGGTCTCCAGTACTGTGTACAATACTCCAAGTGAGGTCTCACCAGTGTTCTTTACAATGGCATGAGCACTTCCCTCTTTCCACTGCTAATACCCAGTGGCGTACTAAGGGGGGGGCGGGGGGGCG